TTAAATACTGTTTGTAAGGAGAAGGGTCTAGGAAGGAATACTTAATTGGCTACACCCTCTAGCCTTTTGGTATCTCATTAATATGGAAATCTCTTGAAGCTTAGGCCTGTAGTCATGCCCTCTACCTGTGGAGGGGCTGGTAGGGCCGTTGTTCTATGTGACTGAAAGGCACAGATCAACGGAGGTCTTGTCCATGGGTCAGGAGCCTGGAGTCTGGGAGCATAGTGAAATATATACTGTCCCTTGCAGAGTCTCTGGCTATCTCTAGCCAGTACTCTACCAGAAACCAAGCCATCCTTTCACGGTCTCACACCTTTTTATATGTGTCCTCCTTTCTTCCTGTTAATGTTGTGTTTCAAGATTGTCCTTTAAAGACCTGTGCTATAATCTGCTGTGGCACCTAATTATCAGACAAGACAAAATGCCTTGTTGATTCATTGTTGGATAAAATGATAAAGAACAGTTGCTGTAGAAAACAAAATTAAAGGAAAAATCACTAAATTTGGATTGAACTAAACCAATTTTCAGAGGCCAAATTTTGCAACATTAAAAGTGTTTTAGTTTTTAGAACTGTTTCCTTTATGAAGGAAAAGTACCTATCACTGACTAAAGAGTGAGGTGATTTAGGGAGCAGGAGAATTAATAGGGTATAAATTCAGAATTACTACTCTGGGAAAAATAAATATGAGTTTGAAGTCAAGTAATATATTTTTAACACAATTGAGCCTACCTTAAACTATAGTTAGTTTTCTATACATTTTCATGTTCTTTGTGATTTCAATATTTATCAGTGTTTCTAAATGTTTCCAAGATAATTGGGCACTTAAAATAAGAAGCCCAGCATATTTCCTCCCTTTGTAAGTGACCTCAACTATTAAATGATCCATCACACAAACACTCCTTTCCCTTCATTTATGCCATCAATATTTTCTGAATGTTCAACATGGAACAAGTAATACAACAGACTATAATCTCAGATTTCATGGAACCTGTGGTTTGGTAAACTGAAAGGAATTGTCAATAAGTAAATGAATAATTCCAATATAATCTTAGTGATAACTTCCATTGAGATGAAGCAGGAATAATTGATAGTCATGCAAAGATTCTATTTTACATTGTAAATATAATTATAAATTGTAGTTTACTAAATTGTCAACTTTTGGGGAAGGCCCAAGGAAAATGAAGGAGCAGGCCTCATTGTATTTTCTAGGGCAAATTATCACTCACCAAAAAGAAAAGAACTTGGTATAACTGTAATGAAGTGAGCAAGGGTAGACTGTGCTATGATTCATAGTTCAAAAGGATGTACAGATATACAGAGTATCATGAGCTTTTCAAAGACCGGACTTCAAGATTTAATGAGATGAAAATCAGCAGGAGAGCTTTGAGGTTAGGAAAGATACAGTCTGACCCTTTGAATGTGATCCCTCTAGTTTCTGCATAGAGAAGGTTCTGTAGAAAATTAGAGAAAGAAACTGTCTTAGTCAGTCTGATTGCTGTGATGAAACATGACCAAAACAACCTGGGGAAGAAAGGGCTTATTTGGTTTATGTTTCCACATCACTGTTCATCTTGGAGAAAGTCGGGATAGGAACTCAAACAGGGCAGGAATGTGGAGATCAGAGCTAATGAAGAGGTGATGGATAATTGCTGCTTCCTGGCTTATTCCACATGGCTTGCTCCATCTGCTTCCTTGTAGAACTCAGAACCACCAGCCCAGGTATGGTACCACAAACAATAGGCAGGGTCTCGCCCATCAATTACTTAAGAAAATGTCTTAAAGTTGGATATTTTGGGGGGCATTTTCTCAATTGAGTTCCTTTCTTTAAGATGACTCTACCCTGTGTGAAGCTGACATAAAACTATCCAGCACATAAACAGACATATAACCTATTAAAACAAACTGGAAAAAAAATTAGCTTGGTTTAAGGAGGTCGTTAAAAAGACAGCTAAAAGTTACATATTTGTTATTTGTGGTGACACAGTCAAAGGGATGTAATTTTTGATGTTTATATACTTACAAGGTGACATGAATGATTAATTATATTTTTTAAATTACATTTATTTATTTATTTAGTGTGTTCGTGTGTGTGTGTGTGTGTGTGTGTGTATGTACATAATCACCAGAGTGTTTATGTGGAAGTTGGAGACAGCTTACAGAATCTAAATCTCTTCTGTCAGCATGAGACTCCTGGGAACCGAATTGTCAGGCTTGTCTATGAATATTTTTGTCTACTTAACAACCTCACTAGTAGTAATTATATTTCTGAAAGACAGTGAAATAACTGAAATGCCACTGATGTAGTGACACTGACTTACACTATTGCATATTTTATTCTGGAATTCACAGTAATAGTCAAGACACCAAAACATAAATTGTTTGGAGCATAAAATTAAACCCAAGAGACTGGAATTGCTAAGCAAGAGACTAAGTGGAGAAGGGAAGTGAATGAGCAGGTTTGGGGTATTTGAAAGTCAAGTTCAGGAGGAATAAGCAAATAAACTCAGAAGATTTAATGGATATATATATATTAGAAAAAAGTGGTTCTGTATAATATTTGGAAGTAAATAAGTATAAGGAGGTTCTGAGATAATTGGGAGATTATTGATATCAAATATTCTACAGTATATTCAATATTTGAATACAAAAAATATTCAAATAGTCTATAAAATAAAAAATATTTTAGGGAAAATTAGTCAAATGTTGAACTTTCTGAAGGGAGATGATAGAAGTTTTTATTTTTGTTTAATTCTCCTCTCAGGGATGTTACAACATGTTTATTATTGAAGACATGATTTAGATGGCTGAGAACACATTTAAGGCTACATCAATTTCTAAGTTTTTTTTAGACAATTTCTAAAATTGTATTATTTTATTCTTGGAAAGTGAAGTGTTATGTAGAATCTTATTCCACATACAGATAGGGATGTTATACAACTTAATAACTTCTGGAAAAGGCCTTTGTTTTTAACATACTCTTAAAATATAAAATATTAAGTGTTAAAGTGCAAAGATACAAATGTTAGGATTCAGTCTCTGGTTTGAAGACATTTAAATATATATTTTCAAAAGCTTTCTAAATTATCTTAAGATTTATCTTATTAGACATTTTTGTAAAATTTTAGAGATTTTTCTTACATTCTTTCGTTATATAGGAATGTATTTCTATTATTCATGCTTTCTAAACCTGAAATATAGTTAATATGATATGGTTTTTCTCTGTTAAAATATCTTAGGTTAACACTAAAAGTATTGAGTTTCATAGAGAGACTAATAGATTGTTAAATATACAGCATAAAGAATGGCTGTAGCCTAATTATAATATATTGTATGGTTAAATAATGAGAAGATATTTCAAGTGTCTCCTTATAAAGATTAATAGGTAAGAAAAATGATAGATATAACATTTAGTCTTTATTTAATTATTCACCATTTCATGCAAGCATTAATATAACATATATGGCAAAATGTGCATAATTGTGATCTCTTCATCAAGAATACTACTAACAAAATAAATGTTTAAATGGATTTAATATTGGCTGAAGTAAATATTTTCTAAATATGCTTTTGATGCCTTAAGAAGGAGAGAGTGAATGGAATATATGTATGTGATTTGTGTATATATACATGTTTACCCATAACCTCGATTAGACACTTATTATTTAATAGATTTATTTAATACTAAATATATTTCATTGGGCTAATCTGGATTATCAATTTGACTCAGAGAATATCCACATTAACAAAATTAAACATGAAACGGGGTGTATAACAACAGACAACAAGAAAATTCAGAATATCTTACTTTAAAAATCCACTGTACTAGCTGGTTTTGCCTGTTAACTTGACACAAGCTAGAGTCATCAGAGAGAAAGGGACCTCAGTTGAGAATAATCCTCCAGCAGATCCAGCTGTAAGGCATTTTTCTCAATTAGTGCTCAGGTGGGGAGGGACCTGCCCAGCCTAGGGTCAGTGGTGCTATCCCTGGGCAGGTGGTCCTCAGTTCTGTAAGAAAGCATGCTGAGCAATCTAGGTAAAAGGAACCAGTAAGCACCAGCACTCCAAGACTTCTGCATCAGCTCCAGCCTCTAGGTTCTTGCCCTATTTGAGTTCCTATTCTGACATTGTTTGATGATCAACAGTGTAATCTGAATGTCTCCCCAACTTGCCTTTTGGTCATGGTGTTTCATCATAGCAATAGAAATCCTAATTAAGACAGCCACTAAATTTGAAAAGCAAAGAAAAAGGATATGATTATTTTCTTGATAAAACCACCTACCAAAATTAAATCAAGATCAGATAATTTTAAAAGAAATATATCCCTAGTGAAATAGAAGCAATAAGGTTTCCTACCCTTCGTTCTCCTCCTCTCTCATTCAAGAGAAAGAAAGAAAGAAAGAAAGAGAGAGAGAGAGAGAGAGAGAGAGAGAGAGAGAGAAAGAAAGAAAGAAAGAAAGAAAGAAAGAGAGGAAGGAAGGAAGGAAGGAAGGAAGGA